GAAGGACTGCCTGAGCCCAGGAGGTCGAGGCTGTGGTGAGCCACGATCCTGCCTGTGCACTCCAGCCTGGGTGACAGAGTGAGACTTCAACTCAAAAAAAAAGAAGAGGAGGAGGAGGAGGAGGAGGAAGACAACGACGATGACAGCACCAGGTGCGCCCCGGTGCTTGGAGACCCCTTGTCCATGGTCTGAAGATTGTTTTCAGTCTCTCTTAGACCACATTGATGGAAGACACATTTCTTTCTGAAGCGCCAGATGGCTGCCGACTCCAGCCCTCTGTGTGAAGTGGAGGCAGGAGAGGCCGGACCTCACTGTCCCTGGGAGGGGGGTGGTCCTGTTCCTCTACCTCTACTCTGCCTCCCTCACTTGGGACACCCCAGGCCAAGGTTGCCCAGGCCTTGTTGTGTTGCCATCTCCACCTGGCACCTGCATGGATATGTTCTGAGACAGCTGTCTGAGCTCCGCGGGCCAGAAGGGACCCACTACATTATGAATCTGATGAGAAACCCATCTGTCAGCAGCAGGAAGGCATTGAGACTGCCTTGGGGACGGCCGGTGCAGACTTTCGACAGAAGTTTCTGCAGGGTGGAAATGTGCTGTTCTGCACTGTCCAATGTGGCTGCCACTGGACACGCATGGTTACTGGGCACTGGATGTGTGGTTAGTCTACTATGGATCTGAATGTCAATAGCCACATGTGACCATCGTATTGGGCAATGCAGTGCTAGAAAGCTCACATGTGCTGCCAGGAAATAACCAAGCAGTAGATGGATGAGGAAGACGCCAGGCCCAGGGTGAGGCAAGGGTCCCAGTGTGCTGTCATGTGGGTGCAGACACAGGTGGAGGGGGGTATTTGTCGGCAGGGGCACATGTGACCTGGGAGAACCAAGGACAGGAGAGGGGCTGCGACAGTTCGGTAGGGACACTTTCCCGGTGTGATCTTCACACATTTTGTGTTTTGAACCATGATCATGTATTACTAGTTCCAAAGGTGGATCAGCTTAAATATA